TTCGCCAACGGCTGGTGGGCGGGGCTTAACGTCCAATCCACTCGACGCCCCGCCCAGATGTATTGTATTTATTAAAATTATTATTTTATATGCATAATATTTATTATTTTGTATATGATAATTATTATTCTATATATAATAATTATTATTATTATATATATAATAATAATTGTATATATTTATAAAATAATTTAGAGAAGCGTGCGGTCGAGGTGAAACTGACGTCAGCGAAAGAGTTACTGCGTTCGCAGGAAGAGGCGTTGAAGAAGAGGGAGGAGGAGCGTAGTGCGTTGAAGCAGAAATTGATAGCGAATGAGCTGGAGACGCGTGGGAAGGAGGCTCAAATTAGGCATTTGAATGTATATTTTTATTTTATTTATTATTGTATTTATTGTATTTATTATTATTTTTATTGTATTTATTATATTTATTATTATTTTTGTTATTTTTATTATTATTATCGTTGTTGTTGCTGTTATCGTTTCACGGCAGTGGTCATTTTTCTGTGGAAACGGCGACAGAAAAGTGGTTGGTGGTTGGTTGCGAAATGCTACGGTAATTTTCGTTCTAAGACTCGTTGGATGCCACCCATCCACCCACCCACGCATTTGGGTGAATTTCAGGAGCGTGTAAAAAATTTGCGCGGGGAGTTGGAGAATTGCCAAAACGAGAATCGCCAACTCAAAGAGAAAGAAGAGCAGATGGACGTGAACAAGATTGTGCTGGAGTCGAAAATACGCGATTATGATTCGGAGACACAAAAAATTAATGTGCTGATGGAGAATTTTGAGACTGAACGTCAGGTTTGTATTTATTATTACTTATTATTGTTATTATTTATCATCATTTATTTATATTTAATTAATTAATTAGTCAATTAATTAATTATGAACGAGTTGCAGAAGCTGAATGAATCAGTGAAGAAGTTGGCGTCTGAGCTGATGACGAGTCAATCGGAGAATTCGGATTTGAAAGATGATCTGGAGAGGGCCAAAAAGGAGTTGGCCAAGTTCGAGAGGTCAGAGGTCAACCTGAGGCGATCGCTTGACGAGCAGATGAGGAACGTGAAGGAGTGTCAAAATTTGAGAGATCGGGTTGGTCGTTTTGATGTGATTAGTGAATTCTGAAATTTTTTGACGACACCTAAAAGTGGATCCGTTTTATTATTATGGTTGATACTGATATAGGTGCGCGAGCGTACTCGCGTG